GCAAATTTTATCCAGCAGTTAATGAAGAAATTACACCAATTCTCCATAATCTCTTTTGAAAAATAGAAGCAAAGGAGAAATTTCCTAGATCGTTTCTATGAAGTCAGCATTACCCTATGACCAAAACCAGATAAAAAAAAAAAATCCCTACAAATCAATATCTCTCATGAACACAGGTATAAAAATCCTCAACAAAATATTAGCAAGTCATATTCAACAGTATATAGAATATGTGACCAAGTGGGATTTATCCCAGGCATGCAAGGCTGGTTAAACATTAGAAAATCAAATAATACAATCTAGCACATCACAGGCTAAAGAAGAAAAATCACATCTCATATCAATAGATGTAGAAAAAGCATTTGACGAAAATCCAAAAACCATTCATGATAAAAACTCAGCAAATGCAGGAGAGACAAATTACCTCAACTTGATAAAGAACTTCTACAAAAACATAGAATTAACATCATACTTAATGATGATAAACTCAAAGCTTCCCACTAAGGATCAGGTACAAAGCAAGAATGTCCCTTCTCAATTAGTTTTCATTATTGTACTGGGAATCCTACTAAATACAATAGGACAAGGGGGCACTTGGGTGGCTCAGAGGGTTAAGTCTCTGCCTTTGGCTCAGGTTATGATCTCAGGATCCTGGGATCGAGGCCTGCATCAGGCTCTCTGCTGCTCAGTGGGGAGTCTGCTTCTCCCTCTCTCTCTTCTTGCCTCTCTGCCTACTTGTGATCTCTCTCTTGTCAAATAAATCAATAAAATCTTTAAAAATGAAAAAAAATATAATAGGACAAGAAAAAACAAGTAAAGGTACGCAGACTGGGAAAGAAAAAATAAAACTGTCTTTGCTCCCAGAAGATATGATCATCTACATAGAAAATCCAAAAGAACTGACAAAGGAACTCCCGAAACTAATAAATGATTATAGTAGGGTTGTAAGAGGCAAGGCTAATATACAAAAGTAAACTGCTTTTCTATAGGCCAGCAATGGACAAATGGGATTGAAAAAGCATTTACTTTATCACCCCAAAATAAAATACTTAGGTATAAATCTAATAAAATATGTACAAGATCTACATGAAAAAAACCATAAAACTCTGATGAAAGAAGTAAAAGCAAAACTATATAAATGGAGATACACCCCATGTTCATGACTAGGAAGACTCATTATTATCAAGATGTCAGTTCTACTGAACATGATCTGTAGATTCAATTCAAATCTCAGCCAAAATCACAGGGAGTTATTTTGTGGATACTGATAAAATGGTTTCTAAGCTGACAAAATGGAGAGCCAAAAGACTGAGAATAACCAACACAATAATGAAGAAGAACAAAGTTAAAGAGTGACACTACTGAACTTCAAGACATACTGTAAAGCCACATTAATCAGTGTAACAGTGGTGAAAGAATAGACAAATAGATCAGTGGAATAGCTTATAAGGTCCAGAAACAGACCTCCATAAATATAGTTAACTGCTCATCAACGAAGGAGCAAACGTAATGAGATAGAGCAAACAAAATCTTTCCAACAAATGGTCCTGGAACAACTGGACATCCACATGCAAAAAAGATGAATTTAGACACAGTCCTTACACTCTTCACAAAAGTAAAGGCAAAAGAGACCAGAGACCTCTATAAAATGTGAAACTATAACACTTCTGGAAGATAACTTAGGAGAAAATCTAGATGAAATCAGATATGGGGAGGACTTTTTAGATGCAACACCAAAAGCATAATCTGTGACCAAAAAAAAAAAAAAGGAAAAAGGAAAAAGGATAAGCTGGACTTCATTAAAATTAAAAATTTCTTCTCTGTGACAGATAATGTCAAAAGGATGAAAAGAAAGTCACATCAGATAAAGGACAGTTATCAGTATTATACAAAGAACACTTAAAACTCAATGAGAAGAACACAAACAATGAGATTTAAAAATAGGCCAAATAACAGATAGGTCACCAAAAACGATATGCAGATGGCAGATAAGCATATGAAAAGATGTTCGACATCACACGACATGAGGGAACCGGAAACTGAAATGACAATGAGCCACCACTACACACTTATTAGAATGGTCAAAATCCAACATACTGAATGCTGGTGAGGGCACAGAGCAAAATGAATGCTCATTCATTGTTAATAGGAATGTAAAATGGTACAAACTCTGGGAAACAATTTGGCAGTTTCTCACAAAACTAAACATATTCTTCTGACATGATCCAGCAGTTATGCTCCTTGGTATTTACCCAAATGAGCTGAAAATGAAAATATGTCCACACAAAAACCTGAACAAGGATGTTTACTGCAGCTTTCTTCATAATGGCCAACACTTTGAAACAATCAAGATGTCCTTCAGTGGATGAGTGGATAAGTAAACGAAGGCCTATCCAGAAAATGGATTATTTTCTGGCATAAAAAGAAATGAGCTATCCAGCTATGAAAAGACATGGAGGAATCCCAAATGCATATTACTAAGTGAAAGAAGCCAAACTAAAAAGGCTACATACTGTATGATTCCAACTACACGACATTCTGAGAAAGGCAAAACTATGGAGATATTAAAAATATCAGTGGATGCCAGGGGTAAGGCAAAGTTTGGGTGAAAAGGCAGAGCAGAGGGACTTTTAGGTCAGTGAAAGTAGAATGCATGATACTGGAGTAGTGGATACAAACCATTAAATATTTGTTCAATCCCATAGAATATACAACACAAAGAGTGAATCTTAATGGTAACTATGGACCCTGAATGACAATAATGTATTGTAGGTCCATCATCTGTAACAAATGTCCCATTCTGGTGGGGGAAGTTGGTAATGAGAGAGGCTTTGCATTTGTGGGAACAGGGTATATATGAAAAATCTCTGTAACTTCCACTCAATTTTGCTGTGAACCCAAAACTACTCTAAATAACAAAATTTTTATAAAATCTATCTGAAGATTAAATACTAAAATACGAAAAGCAAAACTTTTCAATATGTATAAGAATATGTGGGAAAATATTTGAAAGAGAATATTTGGAAATATTAGGAGGTCATGATATAGAAAACATTTTTTAAACAATTTTCTTGGCAGCTCTGTTGTTGGAGAAAGACTTCATTATGAGAAAATACATGGGAAAAAATGGGGTGTCCAGTATGTGGACATGAGATAATAATGCCAAATGATGTCAGAGGATAAATGAAATTTTTCTGTAAATAAGAAGAAATGAGAGCTAGAGACAGGTGGGAGTGGGTCCAGAATCCTGGAAGGAAGGAATATGGAGAGACGCAAGAGGAGTAGATTAAGCTCATGGTCAGGAGACCCACTTTTCTGAAAAATTATGGATTGCAAATATCTAGAGCAAACCTGGTGATGTTTGGAATAAAGTTTTGCAGTGTAAGTGAGAGGATATTAAGACATTTTATTGTATCTAATTCAATAAATAACTTCCATCCTTAGAATGGTCTGGAAGAATTACTAAAAACTTATTCTCAGGATCCTCTGTCACTTCCTGTGAAACATTGGTACTCTCTATCAAATACAGAATCTCTCAAGTTGCATCAGGACCTGGGGACCCAAGAAAAATTTGGACTATATTGTAAGTCTCTTTGGCTCTAAAATGTTTCTATACCATAATCTAGAATTGGCAATAGTTAATAGTTGATATATAATTTTCTATCTGCTCATTTCTTGTTCTTTCTGTGTGATTTAATCTTTCAATCTGTAACAACTGCCTCTTCATACTGGTTTCTTCCTGTGATTCAGTGTGTCACTCTTACCTTGACTCAGTCTACCTTCACTCAGTTTAGGGCTATAGATGAGACAGGCATTAAGGAATACATCAACTATCAAGGCATATCTAAGGAATTTACACAAGGGAGTGATATGATCATGCTTTAGAAATTTGCTACACAAAGTATGGCCCATTGACTTAACAGCATCACACCATATGAGAGCCTGTAGAAAGGCAGCCCTATTCCCCTTCCTAAAGAATGAGCATCTGCATTTTTACAAGACTGCCCAGTTATTTGTAGGCACATTAACTATTGATTAGTACTGAGCTATGTAATCTCATTCTAGTAGGATGATGACAGACAGATTTGGGAAGAAAACCCTAAAGGTAAAATGTTGCCTATTCATTCTTTTTATTCTTTCTGTGATATTCAGGGTAAGAACTGAAACATACAGTATGAACTAAAAAAGTCATTGTTGCAGCGTTGAAAAATATTTCTTCACTTTTCTGAACGTTTAAGTGAGCCAAACCTGGAGCCATTAGAGATTTTTCTATATAAAGTAAAGCATATATTTGAATCCCAACAGGGAGTAAGGACCCCAGAGCTATCATTCTGTTTACTTCAATGAAGAATTAAAGCCTTGTAGTTTATTATTTCAGGAAGCTCTACCTGGGATTATACTCCTCAAAGTACTTCCAAAACAGTAACAAAAATCACTTGGTCTTTTCAAGTGCCAAGAAGTCTATAGTCAAAGGCTACCTAAAGACACATGAGAGCAGAATTTTTCTTGCCTGCCTTGCTCTACTGTTCTCATTAGTTGGCTTTCTTTATCCTCTGTGTAGACCTCTGGGCAGAAACCCCTTTTACTGTTTCACTTCTTAAATCATTACAATAAATTTTTGTAGAGCCCATTTGAATTCTTCCAAATTTTGATTCACAGGGCTGTTGGGATATAGGACTCTTTTTGTAAAAAATACCTCCCAAATACTTCAAACTTAAAATCCTAATAGAACCTTACCCTCTCCTCCAAGAAAGTCTCTCACTCTGGTTGGAAACTCTAAATTGTGTGAATCATAAAGTAGTGAACACCTGAGGCAAGAAATTTATTGTTGGTTGCTTAGAGAGAACAAATTGCCTCTACTGTAACATAAAGTCCTAGCAAATTCTGTCTCAATAGGAATTTACAGATAGAGTCTAGCAGACAAGAGAATGCGGTGAGGATGTCATTTAGTCATGCCTAGAGGACATGTAAAAGTAAAACCAGGCTTCTGCAACACCTACCAATTTCAAAACTACCATCAATAACTCCCACCAGTGAAGAAGGGATATCAAATCTTCTCTCTATCTGAGTGATGGTGCTCTTCAGATAGCCTTCTGCCAATGCTTTAGCGAAGTAGACGAAAGACAAGGCACCCAAAAATACCTGGAAATTAGGAGAAATCACACTTAGTCTGACTCCAGCTTGACACACAACTGGAAACTTAACTCAATAAATAGACAAACAAAATGCAAACCAAGAACAATGTAACAAGATTATCACTGAAGATTTCTCTCAAGCATGGGTACAGGCTTCCTTCAGCCTCAAGCTCAGGTAGATTGCTAAAAATACAAATTCTAAAGCAGATTTTGTTCAGAATTTATGTTGAATTCTGTTTTTTCCCTTCTTTTCCCTTCCTCCAAAGGACATCTGAAGGAGTCTTGGCTTTGAAAGGAAAATCCACTGTATGGTGAAGCCAAGAGTGGAAGGAGCCAGTCACAGGTAAGAAAATAAAACAAGAACCATAATTCAAAGCCTTAATATTTTATCATAAGTCTCGTACTCATGACTTGGGTTTCACAGTGGTGATGCATGTACCAGCAGGAGATACAACAGACCAAAAAAACCACTATCCTCATGTTTAAGTTCATATTCAAAGTAAATTCATGCATTTGAGTATGAATTTTTTTTAATAGCTGGCTTATATATTTTGCTAGACTTGAGTCCCTGATGGAATATCCATGGAGGAGGTTAGCATTTATATGAAAAAGCACATATAGAGGGTGCTGGGGTTATGGACATTGGGGAAGGTATGTGCTATGGTGAGTGCTGTGAAGTGTATAAACCTGGCACTTCACACACCTGTACCCCTGGGGCTAATAATACATTATATGTTAATAAAAAATAAAACATTATATTAAAAAAAAGAAAAAGCACATGTATTTGCTGAGTGAATGTTGGGTACAAAGAACAGGAACTTGTGAGTCACACTAGGCACCATTTAAAAAGTTTCCCTGCTCCTTGTTGTATGGCGAGGAAAATCAAAATTTTCCTTTATAAAATGGGAATGATATGGATGTTTTATAGATTAAATATTATAACTATACTTAGTATAATATCTGGAACATGGTTGAAACTAAATAAATGTTAGTTTCTTTTCTCTCTTACTTCAGTTTAGGAGGGGCATTCAAATGAGCCCAGAAAGTAATATTTAGTAATTTAATCTACATGGTAGGAAGAGATGGCTTTCACTGCCTGGTAGAGTATGTTTTAATAATTGCACCTAAGTTCACTTTTCAAAAAGGGAAAAAAATTCTCGCTTCTAGCTACATATGGGAAATATGTAATTGTACAGAAATATCAATTATGAAATTGCATAGCACACATCTGAATGGAGAGTCAACAACATAGCCTCCACCTAATCTGTGGGCTTTTTCCTCCCACCTAATTCTTTGTTACTCTCTCATTCACTACTTAACGGTTGTTTGTTTACCATTTAATTGTTTGTTACCTTCAGTTCGCCACAGCATCCTTGCTTCTCCTTTGAGGAAGAATATTCCATTTTAAAGGAATGTTGCCCAACAGGTGGCACTGAACTTTTACAGAACAACTGGATATTTTCTTTGGATGAAGTGTCCATTATGGAAATATTCCTTGACTCTGATCCTGTCAAAGTAGATTTCAATAGTAAAAAACCAACCAACCAACCAAACAAAACAAACAAAACACACACACAAAAAAACAAAAAACGAAACAAAAATTAATTCAACTCCACCATTTATTAAATAATGTTTTTATTTCACAGTAGATCACAATGCAGGGGACATGATTCGATATGAAGCTACCTTACTTTACCACAGTCACCTGGCAAAGTTTTTCAATTAAAATTGACCAGTATATTTGATTAACTAATCCAGCTATCGGGACTCTCTAACCAGCATTCTTTCCCAATCCCTTCAGCTTAAGCCTCATTATGGCAAAGAAGAAATTTAAATGTTGCCTTTGGAATAAATAATGAGGCAGAATTTTGTGGTCTTGCCAGCTTAAACTAGAAGCAAGCAGAAAAGGAAGAGGAATTCAACCATCTGAATATTGATTCATGAAAATTAAGTCATTAAAGCCTTTAAATCTATCTTAACAGAATGGGTAGAAAATATTGATGCTCACTGTAGATCCTTATGGCACACTGCAAGTCCTATAGGTTTGTAGCATCCGAAGAAAGGTATAAAATATGGCAAAAAAAGAAGAGGACCATTTATGTATCATTTTACTTTGACAGATAAGGAAGCAGCAGGATTTGTGCCTTAGGCTTACCTTTAATTCAGGCAAAAATTACTTTAGCCTGCCGTGAAGTAAGAAAGATGGCCTCCCTTCCTATGCTTAATTTCCCATCCACCCATCCTTACCAAGCCCTGGACAGATCCATATACTCTGAACCTTTTTTCTCCCTATTCATATCAGTATTTATATGTCCCATGCCTTACATTAGAATTTTGTATGGCTCAATGCCTGCCTATAAAAGTAATGTATCTGAAGAAATTAGAAAACAAAATAACTCCTAGATCACCCTAATATTTATTAGATGATGCATTTTCACATTAACAGAAATCTGTATTTTCATCGCACTAATTAAAGAAATAAGATTACGAGTAAAATTAAATGTACTGTGGTAAGAACTGAGGTTTATTCTGTCTATGAGTATATTACTTTGACTTTATTTAATTCTTATTTTGTGTTTACTAAACCTCATCCTTCAAAGTTTGAAGTTTGATAATTTCTCAAAACTGAAAAATAAATTTTATTTTGAAATATGTAATTAAATATGAAAAGAAAGATCTGAACAATTAGAAGTGGAGGAGTAGCAAATGAGTTGAGAAGGGTATAGCAAAGGCCTGTTTAAAAAATATATATATATTTGATTTTTAGATTATTTGATGCATAAATTTAACTTTAAAAAAAGATTTATTTATGAGAGAGAGACAGAGAATGAGAGAGAGAGAGCATGAGAGGAGAGAGGTCAGTGGGAGAAGCAGACTCCCTGCTGAGCAGGAAGCCCAATGCGGGACTCAATCCCAGGACTCCAGGATCATGACCTGAACTGAAGGCAGTTGCTTAGCCAACTGAGCCACCCAGGAAGCCCTAAATTTAACTTTTAAAAAATGGGCAAAGGAAAGTCGAATGAAACAGAAAAAAGATAAGAACCAAAGACCTAAACTAAACAAAGAACAGAAAATGCTAAGCAAGATCAAAAGATAAGGACATGAGAATACTATATTAGTGAGTTCTAAACAAAGATGTTCAAAAGTATAAAACATAAAAATTATGCATAACATATAAAAATAACTTTAAAGTCTTGACCAAATAGATAATTTTCTAGCAAGAATTACCTGTATTAATATAAACCAGAAAAGAAAAAGAGCCAAGGAAGACACTACCAAAAATACTCTAAAACTATCCCCTAAACAAAACTAATAAGGATAGATGGTGTAACAGGAGTGCTTTATCAAGGGATATCCTTCAAGGAGAAAATAGTAGGTAACTGATTTGGTTTTAAATATAGTAGAAATTTAAATTAAACCAAATAAAATTAAATTAAACCAAAATTTAAATATAGTAGAAAATAGTAGAGATAAAAAAAATCTCTATTCATTTTAAAAAGACATAATTATTTTGATAATAAAATCTCATTAAGATAGTACAAGAAAAAAAAACACTTCAGATGAAATTTAGAGATGCTAAAATTTTAAATAAAATACTAGCAAATCCAAATGAATTTATATTCTTTAATTAAGATCTAGTTTAAAGGGGTGCCTGGGTGGCTCAGTGGGTTAAGCCTCTGCCTTCGGCTCAGGTCATGATCCCAGTGTCCTGGGATCGAGCCCTGCATCGGGCTCTCTGCTCAGCAGGGACCCTGCCTCCACCTCTCTCTCTGCCTGCCTCTCTGCCTACTTGTGATCTCTTGTCTGTCAAATACATAAATAAAATCTTAAAAAAAAAAAAAAGATCTAGTTTAAAAATGTAACAATTAATATTAGGAACTTTATTCACCTAAATCATCACATTAAAAATTCAGTATGTTATATAGGTATATCAAAACATCGCATTGTATGCCATGCATGTATACAATTTTTATTTGTCAATCACATCTCAGTAAAGCTGGGGAAAAAAAGGAATTCAAAGTAAAAAATAATAAAATCTCAATAGATGCAAAATATCAGGTGACAAAATACAACATCCATTCCTGATTTATAAAAACCCAAATTCTAAGAAACTAAGGACATAGAAATTCTTCTTTACCATCTATCTGATACCAATGGCCAACTTTGTACATTCAGAGTCAACGAAACTAGTTGTCCAGAACTACACTTTGTCAGAACAATAAAAGGGAGTTTGAGAAACACTGGATTATGCAATATTAGATAGGTTTCACACTAAAAGACTACTGAGTACCTTTAATTAAACTGCCAGAGACACACAGCTATTAATAATAATAATAATAATAATTTGATAATAACAAATAATAATAAAAAGTCAAAACAACTAAATGACCTAAATGTCCAACAAATTATGGTCTATTCATACAGTGAAATCTTTTGAATCCATTAGAAATTAGTATAAGAAGTAAATATAACTATATAGAATATGTTTATCAGAGAACTGATTTTTAAAATCCATGGTGAAAAACAATATATATAATACTCTATTTTACAGAAGAAGCACCCATTTTCACATGTGTATATGAAACAACAAAGTTTGAGAAAATCTTTAAAGAACAGGTTAACACATTATTTCTGGTTGGTGACAATGCAGATAATGTTTTCAAAAATGCTTTGTGCGTCTATATTTTCTAATTTTTCTATAATGAACATATAAAAATATTTTAAATATTACAAGTACAAACATATCACCAAGCAAGAAATACACACCAGAAAAAATTTAAATATCATTCAAATTGGCCTACTCTTTCAGGGGTTCAATATATTATTTCTGGCCAGTCATAATAAAGCCAGTGGACAAGAACAGGCAAATTAATCCTTTAATAATTAAATATACTATCACTACACTAATCCAGAATGCTAATGCTAAAGAGAAAAACAATCATGTTGAAAATTATATTAAAAGCTTGAGACACCAAACACACTGTCTTCTTAAACTTAGGAGGTGATTACACAAAAATCACTCTAACTAGAATCCAGAAGTGATAACAAAAACAAGAGAACTATGGTCATCCTAGACGATGTGGTGTTAGGGCAAAATAATATAAAACACTGACACTGCATATTGTCACAGAAAATATCATTTCATCTTGGTGGCTAATTTGCATATCATCTCAAGGATAGTATGTTTCAAGGAGGCTATGTTTATGAACAGTGAGCTTTTCATCCCTCTGTGAAAAGAAACGGAAGGCGAGCTCAAGGACCTGAACAGAAAGATCCTCCAAATTCTCTCTCTCTCCATTCATTTGCAGTCGCAGAAGTAGAGCAAGAACACAGTTATTGAGAAGGATTTGCATTTGGCAAATCCTTAATTGTTTTCCCACCTCTTGAACAGATTCCACCAGAAAAAGAGTCATGGCAAAGTTTTTATCCAACCTGGGTTGGAGTGTATCTTATTTTGGGGGCCAAAGAAAAAGAAGCCAACCATAGATAACAGACTAGATTATTATTAATAGATATAGAATAATATATTAATAGATATACAACAATAGAAAATCTCTATTCCTCTTTTTTTAAAAAAGGAATTCTCTGTTCACACGGGCTTGAAAATCAATCTCGCAGTCTTTAAAGAGCACAGACAGCCTCGGCATGTTATGACTGGGTCATGCCCAGAACCTCTGTGCTGTGATCCTATGACATAAACTCCATCCACCATCAAACCCTAAAGACTGCCAGAGAGCAAGTCAGAAAGAACCACCCTCTTCTCCACTCCTCTTCTACTTCACCTCACACAAGGAAAACCTCTGGACTAGCTGGTCTTCTGGGCACCAAGTAATCTCACGGTACTTGCAACAAGGAGTGTGTGTTAAGAAGGCTGATCCCCCCCACCCCCATACAAATAAGTGTTCGTGTTAGATTTAGATCGAATAAGTACTTATGTATGTGCCAGGCGAATGACAGACTTTTTGCTAACCCTAAAAACAGCTCAACGAGGTAAGCATCAGAATACCCATTTTACAGAAAATGATCCAACTCAGAGCCATTCAGTGGTCAAGAACTACCCAACTAATAAGTTCTCAGAGTCAAAATCTGAACCCAGATCTGAGGTGACCTGATTTTAACCAGCGTCCTTTTGCTATTTCTATCAACCTAACAAGGGCCCCAACAACTTTGACGGTGGGTGTGGGTAAGACACTGGTAGTGCAGAACTGAAGGGCTGATTAGCCTCTCTCCTACGAGAATCAGACGTGAGAGCCACAAAGCAGGAAAGCGGAGAACTCAATCTTACCTGGAGGTGGAGATCAAAGACGGCCAGTTCCTCTCAGCGTGCTCAGGGAGAGGCTGGACCCCACTCCACAGGCTGAGAGAGGAAACTGGGGTGAATTCTACAGCAGCTCTGAGCAGTTATGCCAGGTGGGGAGAGCCTGGATGGACACAGACAGAGCAAATTAGGGGAAAGAAGAGATGAAGGGCATGGTCTCACCCCTGGGCAATTTCGACTCTTTCCTCTTTCCTCCTGGCCTCTTTTCTCTGGCAGTCTGCAAAGAACAGGCCACGCTGGCAAAGCCACTGACGTGCATCTCAGCTCCCAGGGCACAGAAAGAGCTGAAGCTTTGGAGCCATTTCTTTGCAGTTTGCTGCAAGTTTAAGGCCACACGTGATAAAGCTTTCTGTATGAGAGAGAGAGTGAAAAGAGAAAAGACCACTTGTGATCTTACTTGCTGATTCCCAGAAACACAACTCTGCAGGGGGCAGAGGGGAAAGGAACAGAAGCAGGAGGAGGGGCGGAAGTTTGTAACAAAGATCCCTCCTTCTCCTTCCAAGAAGTTTTTAAGCCAGCCGCTCCTTGAGGACATCACTGGGATCCTTCTGAGAAAAAAAAAAAGAAAAAAAAAAAAAAGGCTCAGAGGCTAAATCTCTGCATGGTTTCTTTTCCCGTTGGGATTCAAGAATCTTAGGGACCACATACCAGGTCAGGATCAAGGCTCTGCCGAGAGTTCTCTCTAGAAAGGGCCAATTCTCAGACACATGATCAGTTGCTCGCATCCAATTTATAAGGGTCTGATAGAAAAAAAGAAAAACACTGAAATTCTGGCAGCCACTTGTTTATTCTCTCTAAATTCCAAGGAGAGAGAACTCCTTGCACTGAAAAATTCTACGATTATGATAAATTCTTTTTCCAAGAGTACCATTTTAGGAGATTCTGAATAGTATTGGCTTGCATTTCGTTTATAGCAATAAACGAATCTGCTACCGGTACTACCCGAGATCCAGCATATTCTTAAACGGCTATGACTCTGGCCTGGTCACTAAACTTTACTGAATCTCAACTTCCCCTCCATAAAGCACAATTCTTATTATACAGAAAACAAAACACATTCATAGGGCTGCTTTAAGGATTTAATGATACAATGTAGTCAAAAGTATGTCTCAAATAACAAAGCACTAAATGACCTGAAAGTATCAACATTACACATGTAATTTCAGTTCACACAATGGTAAGGATCATTAACCAATAATCAAATATGATTATAAGCACCTTTTCTTACCAAAGGGAAAAAGGGATCCAAGGAAAATATAATAATATTTAATATTATTAAATAATAAAATAATAGATCTTACAGTAAAGCAATGGTGCATTCAGACTCTGAAGACCACAAATTTTAGGAATCAAACCAGCCTTTGCTAGTGAGCAAGCATCGCCATAGGTCTTACACTTTTCAATGCATCTAACAGGTGGCCACTGGTGCAGTTAGGGGAAAACAGTGTTTACTATCCTCATTGAGAAATGCAGTTCTCCTCCGAGAATGTAATTTGGCCTACCCCCAATTTGCTCAAGTTCACTCGCTACCATGGTTTCTCTCCTGACCGCTTGAGTCCACAGTTCATGTTACAGTTCTGAATGTCCATAATGCTTACTTTACATAATATTCAAAGCTTCTCATGTATATAGTCTCGCATTGGACTGTATCCTACTTCCATACTATAGACCCGGGGTAAGCAAAATTTTCCTGCAAAGAGTCAAAGAATAAATCCTTTAGGTTTTGCAGGCCATATAATCTCTATCAAAACCACTAGACTATGCCACTGTGTTGTGAGATTAACCATCAATGAATGAGTTTCCCAGTGCTGCAATAACAAGAGTACCACAACCTGGGAGGCTTAAAGCAGAAGAACTTTATTATCTCAGTTCTGGATGCCAGAAGTCCAAACTCGAGGTGTCAGCAGAGCCATGCTCCCTCTGAAACCTACAGAGATCCCTCCTTACCTCTTCCCCCTTCAGTGGTGGCTGACAACTGTGGGCATTGCTTGGCTTATGGATTTACTGCTTCAATCTCTGCCTCTATTGTCACATGACACATCTTCTCTTGTGTGTCTCTGTCTTCTCCTGTTCTTGAAAGGACACCAGTCATAGTGAATGAGGTCCCATTTCAGTGACCTCATCTTAGCTTGATCAATCTGCAAAGATCCTATTTCCAAATAAGGTCACATTCAATGATACTGGGGGCTAGAATTTCAACATATTTGGGGGTGGGCGGCACAATTTAACCCATAACATTCATATTGTCATTTCCCTCCTTACCTGAGTTGAGTTTCATACAATTGTTCGAATCACTCACTTGCACAATATGATGGTACATTCCCTTGTCCATTGGTCAGTTTGTTGCTCTTCCTTGGCAAACCACAGCTGAGTTAAATTCAACTTCCCATCCACTCTGTGTTTACACCCATACTATTTTAAATAGTTGAAGAAAACTCATTACCATGCCCTCAGGGCTCATCTTTAATTCATGACCACTAACCTCACTGGGTCTCAGAGGCACTGTTAAACATATCTTTTAATAACCTAATCATTTTTCCTTTCTCCTGAATGACTTCTCCCAAACTTTGGTTTTCCCCCAACTTTCATTACCAGCCAATGATCTTGCTTAGGGAACTCACTGATGAAATTTTTAAAATCAGGAGAGAAATATTGTATTCTGCCCTCGCCACATTTACTCCCCACCTGTATGTGTATTCATATTATTTGTCTTCTTTCTATTCCTATGGATGTATGGTCCATGTTGCTAAGCATACACTATCATCTATGCTCCTTATCTAAAATTCCTCTTCTATATTTCTTGTCCCGCCCATTCTGTTTTTTGCTTCCACCACTTGACCACAGCTACTTTCATCAATAACATCAAAGACTTTCACATTAATAAATCCAGGGATCAATTTCCAGGCTTCATTTTAATTGATTAGCAGAAATGTATACTACTGATTGTGCCCTTTCCTTTGATCCTTTTTTTTAACCCAGTTTTTAGAACCCCACACTCTCTTAGTTTTCCTCCTGCCTCAGTGGTCATTGTCCATTAACATTCATTGCCAAAACACTGCACAGTTCAGTCCTTAGAATATCTTCTTTGCTCTATCTACACTTACTCCCTTATGACCTCACCCAGGCTCATCACTTAAAGTGTCATTTATAATTTAAGATGAATGAGGTTAAGAAAAACTTTGCAGTCCTGTGTTGGAACTAGGAGTTTTAAGTCTGAATAGTACATATCCCAGATCTCTGCACTGAAAAGGTCTAAAGTTTTCAGTCTGAATAGTACATATCCCAGATCTCTGCACTGAAAAGGTCTAAAAACTCATGCTGGTGGGAATGTAAAATGGTACACACATTTTGGAAGAGGGTTTGGTGGTTTCTCATAAAACTGAGCATATTCTTCTCATATGATCCAGTAATCACACTTCTTGGTATTTACCCAAAGGAGTTGAAAACTTACGACTACTCAGAAACCTGCACATAGATGTTTACAAACATCTATGTTTAACATAACATCTAAGCTTTATTCGTAAGTGCTGAAACTTGGAAGGAATTGCAACGTCCTTCAGTCGGTAAATAAATAAATAAATAAATGGTGGTCCATCCTACCCAGCCATGAAAAGACATGAAGGAAATTTATTATTTTTTAAAACATTTGCTTATTTATTTTAGAGAGACACAGAGAGAGAGCACATCTGGGAGGGGCAGAAGGAGAGGGAGAAAGAATCTCAAGCAGACTCCTCACTGAGCACAGAGCCTGATGCAGGGCTGGATCCCAGGACCCTGAGATCATGACCGGAGCTGAAGCCAGAGTCAGATGTTTAATAATTGTGTCACCCAGGCACGCTGACTTGGAGGAGCTTTAAATGCAAATTACTAAGTGAGAGAAACTAATCTGAAGAGGGTACATACGGTATGATTCCAACTCTAAGACATTCTGGAAAAGACAAAACTAGAGAGACAGTGAAAGACCAGTGGTGGTCAAAGGTTAGGGCTGTGGGTGATGAATAGGCAGAACACAGAGGATTTTTAAGGCAGTGAAAATACTCTATATGATATCATCATGATGAATACATGTCATTATACATTTGTCCAAACCCTTAGAATGTACGCCACCAAGAGTAAGCCCTAAATAATGGACTTTGCGTGATTTATGATGTGTTCATAAATAGTTCATTAATGGTAACAACTATACCATTCTGATAGGAATATCGATACTGGGGGACGTTGAGTGTATGGGAGCAGGGGGTATACGGGAAATCTCTATGCCTTCCCTTCAATTTCATTGTAGGCATGAGCTTCCATTATGTAGAATAACTGTGTGGCCCAGACACCTTCTTTATCTCCACCTTGTTCCTTATCCTATTCATAATTTGTAGAAGATAGAATTATAGCCCCCAAAGATGTCTGCCCCATCATCCCCAGAAAATTGTAAATATGTTAAGTTACATGGCAAAAGAGACTTTTCAAATGTAATTCAAGGTCTTAAAGTAGGGAGATCATCTTGGATTCTCTGGGCCCAATATAATCACCTGAGCCCTTAAAAGCAGAGAACGCTCTCTAGCTGGAGATGGAAAGGATGCAGCAGAAGTGAGAACGTCTTAAAGTTTAAGAAGGAATCACGTAACATTGCTGGTCTGAAGATGGGGCTGGTGAGAAAAGCAATGCCTGGAGAAAGGAAATGGCCTGAAGAAGCTGAGAGAGGTTCCCAGTGGTCAGCTGGCAAGGAATGGGGGCCTCAGCCCTATAAACAAGGAACTGCATTCTGCCAACAACCCAAGTGTGTTCAGAAGTGGATTCTAGAAACTTCAGGGAAGAGCCAGGCTGGCAGACACTGGATTTTAATCTTGTGCGAGACCAGAAGCTGTGAGCTAATAAGTTTGCACTGTTTGAAGTCACCAAATTTATGTTAATTTATTACAGCAGAAATAGAAAACAAATACATAATCACTAGCTACTTTGAAGTCTCTGAAGACCAGGCCTTTTGTGAATTCACCTTTGCATCTGGCAGGGAAAATCAGTCAGACTGACAATAGAGCAAAGAGCCACTGCACTTCCTGAGTGCTAATGACAAAGTATGAAGCAATGTGCACCACCATCCCTGGCCCAACCCACCCAGCTCTGACTGGTCCCAGGAGGCCAAATGATCCTAGACAGCATGGGCAGCTGGACAATTCCTCAAACCTGACAGATTTCAACAGAAGTGGATGTGGAGCTCCTTTCTTAAGCCAGCAATGGTGTGAGAAAAAATGATCAGGACATGAAGTATCTTCAGGATTAAAGAAGCTTAAATCTGTCCTAACAAGCAGAAGATTTTCTAATGATTTAAGAATGGATTTTCTTTCTTTCTTCTTTTCATTGGTTAGGGTATATCCATATCCCAAGCCCCAC